TATGATTTTGCACATTCGGCGTCCTGTAGGCTTCTAGGATTTGGGGTTCTGTCTCATTCTTCAAGTCTGGGAAGTTTTCTCGTATTATTTCATTGAATAGATTGCTCATTCCTTTGGTTTGAAACTCTGTCCCTTCCTGTATCCCAATGACTCTTAAATTTGGTCTCTTGATGTTATCCCATATTTCTTGGATGTTCTGCTCATGGTTTCTTAACAGTCTTGCTGAGCTGTCTATGTTCTTTTCAAGTTGAAATACTTTATCTTCATTGTCTGATGTTCTGTCTTCTAAGTGTTCTACTCTGCTGGTAGTATTCTCAATTGAGTTTTTAAGTTGGCTTATTGCTTCCTGCATTTCTAGGATTTCTGTTTGTTTGTTTTTTATAACCTCTATTTCCCTGTATAGTTGATCTTTTGCTTCTTGGATTTGTTTATGTAGTTCATTGTTGAAGTGATCTTTCATTGTCTGATTTTGCTGTCTGATGTCTTCCTTGAGACTCCAGATCATCTGAAGCATGTATATCCTGAATTCTTTATCTGACATTCCATCTGCTGCAGCTATTACCTCTTCTAACGTTGAGTTGACCTGCAATGCTTGTGGTCCTTTCTTTCCTTGTCTCTTCATACTGTTCGCGTTCCTTTCTACTTGGTGAAACTGTTGTGCTATGGAATTTTCCCCCTATATATTTATATTGGTCTTGTATAGTTGCAAAGTCTCCCTCGCAGGAGCGGGCGGCGGCTCTGTCCCTCTGCGGGCCGCTAGGCTTGTTCTGTCGGTGGTCACAGTTCTGTCTACTCTGCAGGCGCAGGCAGCGGCACTGCCCCTCTGCAGGCCTCTGGGGCTGTACTGCCAATGGGTCGCAGGTGCGCCTACCTTGCAGGCGCGGGGGGGGGCGGCTCTACCCTTCCTCAGGCCACTGGGCCTGTTCTGTCTCTTGGTTGCAGGTCTGGCCTGCTCTGATGGTGGTCACAGTTCCGTCTACCTTGCAGGCGCTGGGGGGAGGGGGCGGCTCTGCCTCTCAGCAGGTCGCTGCTCCTCTTCTGCCGGTGGGTTGCAGGCCCGCCTACCTTGCAGGAGTGATTGGAAGCTCTGTCCCGCCGCAGGCCACTGGGCCTTTTCTGTCGGTGGTCACAGTTCCCCTACCTGGCAGACGCGGGGGGTGTGGGGCGGCTCTGCCCCTCAGCAGGCCACTGGGCCTGCTCCGTGCATGGTCACAGTTCCCTCTACTTTGCCGGCACAGGGGGAGGGGGCGGCTCAGCCTCTCAGCAGGCCGCTGCTCCTCTTCTGCCAGAGGGTCACAGGCCCGCCTACCTTGCAGGAGTGATTGGAAGCTCTGTCCCGCCGCGGGCCACTGGGCCTTTTCTGTCGGTGGTCACCGTTCCACCTACCTGGGAGGCGCGGGGGGTGGGGGGGCGGCTCTGCCCCTCAGCAGGCCGCTGGGCCTGCTCTGTGCGTGGTCACAGTTCCCTCTACCTTGCCAGTGCAGGGGGAGGGGGCGGCTCAGCCTCTCAGCAGGTCGCTGCTCCTCTTCTGCCGGTGGGTCGCAGGCCCGCCTACCTTGCAGGAGTGATTGGAAGCTCTGTCCCACCGCGGGCCACTGGGCCTTTTCTGTCCGTGGTCACAGTTCCACCTACCTGGCAGGCGCGGGGGGTGGGGGGTGGTTCTGCCCCTCAGCAGGCCGCTGGGCCTGCTCTGTGCGTGGTCACAGTTCCCTCTACCTTGCCGGTGCAGGGGGAGGGGGCGGCTCTGCCTCTCAGCAGGTCGCTGCTCCTCTTCTGCCGGTGGGTCGCAGGCCCGCCTACCTTGCAGGAGTGATTAGAAGCTCTGTCCCACTGCGGGCCACTGGGCCTTTTCTGTCGGTGGTCACCTGGCAGGCGCGGGGGGTGGGGGGGTGGCTCTGCCCCTCAGCAGGCCGCTGGGCCTGCTCTGTGCGTGGTCACAGTTCCCTCTACCTTGCCGGTGCAGGGGGAGGGGGCGGCTCTGCCGAGCTTCCCTAATCTTAAGAAGATCCAAAATGTTTCAAAATCTGGATCTTTGTGAATGCTAACGATGCTAAACTGGGAAATTTCACATTTGATCTCATGTGATGGAAGGCAGCCAAAATGCAGGGACACTAAAAATACTCTTAAGATTACCTTCAGGCTATGTATAATGAATATCATGTTTAGGCTTGGGTTCTATCACCAACAATCTCATTATGCATATGCAAATATTCCAGAATCCAAAGAAACCTGAAACACTTCTGGCATTTAGGACAGGTGATACACCACTATATAAAAATACTTAAATGGGAATGGGGGTAGAGAAGGGATATTCTAACACTGGGAAGCAGAAATGGCCAATCTTGACTATCATTTCTGAAAGAAGTGAACAATCACTCCCATCCCTTCCTAAGGACACAAACAACTTTCAAAGAGCAGAAAACAGAGCAACTTGTTTTTTTACTTAACTATGAAGCCAATTTCATTGTCATTAATTTGTGACACCAAAAATAGACTTTTGTTTTTTGCCTTACCATGGTAGGCAAGAACTCTACTATTGAGCTACACTCAAGACCCTCAAAATCCAGGCTTTGGCCCTTCAAATTGACTAAATTAATAGAATTTTATTTCCCTGGCCTCAAACTCCTCTAAGGTTTTGGCCTTAGCAGAGCACCTTAATAAAGGCCTTGATAAATGCTTTCTAGTAATATGAAATCTTCAGAAATGAAGTAGGTTGCCCTGTGTTAAAATTTTTCATATCACTTCTCAGGTGCTTTAGAGGCTTACAGCATCAGGCTTTAGTGACACCACTAGAGGGCACTCGCACAGACCTGGTATGGAAGTGAGGCTCGTTTTTCAGACCAGTACAACTCCATTCATTAGCACATCACAATTTCTTATTCTTTCCCCCCAAGTTTTGCTGTTTTTCTGGGGCTGCTTATAATAGTACAGCCCATCCTAAGTTAAAAAAATACACTTAAAATAGTGTTTTTTAGGAGTCTGGGTATGTCATTCCATAGTAGAGTGCTTACCTAGTATGTGAGAGATCCTGGGTTTGAACCTCAGCACTGAAGGGGGGATAAAAAAGTCCTAGCTATAAGTGTCTTCATTACTGCTCAACAGTCATGTAGTTTTTAAGATCTAATCACACATGCCTTCCATCTCAGAGGGGACCCTTTCCATTGGGATTAAATTCTTCTGTGCAACAAGGCTTTACTGTTGAGCAAGTACCCATCTGTCTTCCCCGCCTTCTTTAAATAGATTTTATTAGAACATTTTTTAGTTTCACAGCAAAAGTCAGTAGAAAATAAAGTTCCCATATATTCCTTGTCTTTATCTCTCCTGCGCACCAAGATTTTCCTAGGTCCACTCATAGTTTTGTCTTTGAAACATCCCTTTTGCTAGAGTTCTACTTGTTTTTGGAATAATCATTAGCTAATTACTCTCCTTTAACATTTCTGATCAATTATGCTTTCAGGCTTTTGCCTTCTGGATTTCAACAGTAATTACAGAAGATTTCAAACAGGGGCATACAGGCACACTTACTATGAAGGAAATCAGTTTCCAGATCTTTAAATTTTCACATGTACCTAAGAGAATGTCCTTTCAGTAAAGTTGTTTAATTAGTGGTCATACATTAAATTTAGTTAAAGACTTTTGGTAACTCCCCACAAACTGAGAAAGAAACACCTGCAATCACTGTTATTTGGGAGGCTGAGGTGGGAGGAACTCAAGTTTGAGACTATCCACAAGACCTTGCCTCAAAACAAAAAAGGGCAGGGGATGTAGTTCCGTGGTACAGCACCTGTGGGTTCAATTCCCAATGCCACAAAAGCAAAAGCAAAACAAACAACTGAGAAAGTAGCTTTTTGACTGGATAACAAATCCTGCTAGTCAGGTGGATCCAAATTCTGTTTTTAAGAAAGTTGAAGGAGGACAAAGCAAATTGTCAGTTGAAAGAACATTAAAATATTTTTTGGTTAATGATTACTATGTGAATTTTGATGTAAAAAGTTTTTAAGTTTGAGACACTGATAACAAAACTGCTTCCATTTGCATCTTCATATTTTTGTTAAGATATCTCAACTGACATTCATGAAAAAATGTAATTATGGCTGAATCTACCTCATTTTAGCAATATAATAAATACACATACATACATTAATGGAGGAGAGGAAAAGCTTTGTCCATTTCATTCTGATACACTTCTAATAATATTTTTTGCTTAATATTTTACTAAAATATTTGTCAACAGAGTAGGAATAAAGAATTATTAGGAAAAATTTAACTGTTTAGCCTGTGACCTTAGGAAAACTGTTTCCTTTTCTATATATATATATATATATATATATATATATATATATATATATATATTTTTTGTTGCCGAAAGCTATAACAGACTTACTTAAAGTAAGTCTTGACTATAAATATGTTAGAATAAAGAATAAAAATACAGTTATAAATTTAAGGAGAAAAAGCAGTGGAAGATTATTCACTGTTTAGCTAGGTTATTCAGACATTTTAAAGTAGATATTGATGGGTAGGTATCAAATTGCTATTTAACTTGGATTACTTTAAGAGTGATAGATTTATATATGTGTGTGTGTGTGTGTATATATATATATATATATATATATATATGTAAAATATATATTTTTAAATAAAAAACCCTAAAAAGTAGTTATTTTAAAAGAGTACTTGGTTCCAAGATCATAATATAACATACACAACATATATTTCCATAGCTTTACATGTTCTTAAATCAATGCTGTAGGTTGCGGCTGTGGCTCAGTGGTAGAGTGCTTGTCTAGCACGTGTGAGGCACTGGGTTCCATCCTCAGCACCACATAGAAATAGGTAAATAAAGGTATTATGTCCATCTACAACTAAAAACAAATTTTTAAGCAAAGCTTAAAAATACTGCTGTATATTCTGTACAAAAGCAGTAATACCTGGCTATCTTTCCAAACGCCTTTAATCTCAGTGGTAAAGAGGACTTAGACCCTAATGTTCCCCACGCAGGAACATTCACTTTCGGAGCCGTAAAGCTGAGGGGCCTTGGACTCAGACTCCAGGAGCGCCGGCCCACCGCTCAAAGCCTGACTCCAGGCAGACGTTCCCGCCCCTGGGAGCACCCTCCAGAGCTCCAAAGCACCAACGCCACAGGCGGGCAGCGGAGGGGCGGTCTGCAACGTCGTCAACCAACTGCTGAGTAAGCACTCAAGGGTGGCTCTTCTTCCATTTATATGCCCACGTCACCAGAAGTTAAGTGTCAGTTGGTACTGCTTTAGTCGAGGAAAACAAACAAACAAACAAAAAAACAAAACAAAACAAAAAAACCAAGGAACCCTCCCATGGGCCTGCATCACCCAGGCACAGGTTCTCCGAAGGGCAGGGGCAGAGTCGCCCAGAAGGGACAGGTGGCAAAGCGTCTGGCTGCCCCGCATCTCCCAAACGCCCTGGAAGACACGGATAGTCGGCTCAATGTCGGCGATAGTGGTTGACAAGCTCTCTGCCGGAGCAGTGGTCGCGTGGGTTTTTGACCGGAAGCCGGTCCCACATCCGGCTGTCAGTCACCGCCGCAGGTTACCTGGCACAGCCGACTGGGCTACCGCCGCGGAAACCAGGGACCTTCCACAAGTCGGGAGGCGCGCGGCCGCGCAGAGCCTGTCGGGAGCACGCACGCCTCACGCTCCCGGCTTTGTTTTACGTCACTTCCGCTGCGACTAGCAGTGGGCCCGCCTCCCAGCGCGGCCGTAACCCAGGACAACGGCCGGGTGGCAACAAACTGTTGCTCTAGCCCGCCGGCCGGGACTAGCCGCTCCGGGGCCTTCCATCCTGCCTACCCCCTAATGAAGGTGTGAGCGGCCGCGTCCCCGACCCAGGAGCAAGGCCCCGGACCCTTCCACGGGCAGCGGAGAGAGGCCCTGCCCCGTTCGCAAGGAAGCGACCCTCAAGCAGGGAAGTAGAAGAGAGGTACTGCGGCCTGGGACTGGACCGGCGCAGGGGAAGGGGCGGGGCAGTAGGAGGAGCCCGCGGAGGGCGGAGCCCTGGGCGGGGTCCAGGGAGGAGCTAGTGCCGTAAGCCCGGCCCCTGTGAAGGAAGGACGGTCGTCTAGTGGCACGGTAGGCGCTGCTGAGGAAGGGGCGGGGCTCGATGAGGAGGCGGGCCGGCCTGGGAGGAGGAGGTTCTGTGCGGAGAGTGGGGTCTGCGGGCCCTGTGAGGATTGGCAGCCGGCTGGGAGCTGACGGGTCAGGTCCTACGTGGGCCGTGTGTCTTGGCTTGTGCTTTCCCCTGTGCAGTGGGAGAGCTCTGGAGACGCACGTCGCTTCACCGTGTTAGTCCCGTGCTAGGCACTTAGTGAATTAAAGATGTGAGTCGAAAAGGCGGAGGAGTTGGAGTAGAAAAGGTCAGATCTGGAGGATGGTTGCAAAGACCCCGCTCCTAGGAAGGAGTCTAGGATTAATCCCGGCATCTGTGCCCCGTAGGCATATGATAAGCATAGGCACAGTTAATTTACACGGGAAGATATTGTGCAAACTGGGAGGTGCATGTGTAGGACTTTGGGGCAGAGGCCCACCCAACTCCTGTGTTCCAAAACTATTTGTAAGTTAGACAGGAGTCCCATTGGCATTTTTCTGTAGAATCTCTTACCAGAACGGGATGCCCAGGCCTTTTTAATCGGTTCATATGCATGAAGCAGAGCCCTGTATTAAACTTAATTTCTATCCTGGCTAACAGTATTTATATTCATATATTTATGCACTCATCATACGGAATGACAGAAATTAGACTTCCCCTGGCTGAAATTTTGATGGTAGATTCAAGGTTCCTTCAAACTTGTAGCTTCTAAGAAAATGAGGTCTAGAAGCAATGAGTGTAGAGCCAGTGAGGAGTTGGGGCAAGGTGGTAGGGAGTTTGAGGAATTACAGACTGCTTTTCACTTAAATACCCTGGGTTTTGGCTTCTCTTTGCTCTTCAACATTTTTCCCACTATTAATAGATTAGGAATGTGTCAACCAGGTGCAGGAATGTAAGGTAAGGCATTGTAATCTGACTATATTGACAAAGGTAAAATATGGCATGTTCGCTACCACTCATTTATTTTGTGCAGTCATCATTAATCAATCACACAACTTTTTTCCTGCAATGGTCAGGTTTCAAGGTCCTTCTCAACACGAAACTATAGGTAGCCACTGGTTGTTTGGCATTGATAATTCTTAATCTATTCTTCATTCTTCATATAGACAATAAATATAAGAAAATTAAAAGATTAATATAAAGAAACAGTCCTACAACTCTTGGTAAAGTTTTTTTAAGTTAGAATTACCTAAATTAATGGATCTAAAATCCTGTAGATGATATTTAGAAGTGTAGGCCAGGCAATCGTGGGGTGAATTTGTAGCTGGTTTAGTAATTAGTAAATGCTCAAGTGGAAGGGATCCACAGGGCGTTATCCTTCTTTCTTATTCAACATTTTTATGAGTGATGTAGATGAAAAAGATACAGCAGGTATGCTGGTCAAATTAAAGGAGTTTAAAGCAGAAAGGAATGTACAAATTCAAGGATCTCAGAGTTAGAGTCTAAATTATCTAAGCAGATTAGTTGATGGTCCAAAACAAAGAAGGGGAAATTTTATAAAAATCTGATATATTTGGAGGTCTATATCTAGCTAGAAAAAAGGAAGGAAAGAGAAGGAGAGAAAACAAAAGCATGAATATAGAGCGAAGACTGGGACTGTAAACCTTTTATGGGAAAAAAATCTTGAAGTTGTAGTTGACCTCACTCTTAGTGTTAATCAAGATTCGGATATAGATGGGCCTGGTGGTGCAGGCCTGTAATCCTAGAGTCTCAGGTGGCTGAGGCAAGAGTATCACAAATTCAAGGCCAGCCCCAGCAACTTAGTGAGGCTCTAGCAACTTGGTGAGAACTTGTCTCAAAAAAAAAAAAAAAGGTGTGGGGGGATGTTGCTGAGGATTTAAGTGCCCCTGGGTTTAATCATCAGTATAAAAAGAGATTGGGATATAGCTATTTATTTATTTATTTATTTATTTTTGGTGGTGGTCCAAGGAATTGAACCCAGAGTGCTTTGCCATTGAGCTATATCCCCAGCCTTTTTTAGTCTTGTTTTTAAGTTTTGAAACAGGATCTAAAGTTGTTGAGGCTGGCCTCAAACTTGAGATCCTATTGCCTCAGCCTCGGGATTATAGGTGTGTGACACTGTGGCAAATATATAGCTTTAAAAAATCTAGCTATCTTTATTTTTTTTGGGGGGTGTGTTTTTAACTGGTATTTAGTAATATTTAATTAATAGGTGTAGATTTCAGATCAAAGGGAGTTAGGTTTCAAAATAAGTGCTTCTAGTCAGACCATATTTGAAGTATTACCCTCATTTTCAGGCACTACATTTTAAGAAAGATATTGATATACAATTGTGCATCTTTAAGATGTTAAGGAATTTGAGATGTGTGTCTGCAGAAATGATAGCTTACTTCATATATTTTCAGGACTGTTATTTGGGAAGAATACCCAGAACCAAAGGGCAAAATTTGCAGACTTGCAGATGTTTTAAGATTATTCTTAACTTGAAATTGTTAGTGGAATGAAAAAAGATACTTGTAAAGTAATGATCTCTAAGTAGTACTTAAGCAGAAATAATTAAGCTGAATTATTATTGTATTAGTTTTCTGTTTTTGCCACGTTCTCTGTTTAGGATCTTTCAAGGCTGAAGTCAAGTGTCAGCCAGCCTAGGTACTTAACTGGAGGTCCTGCAGAAGAATCCACTTCATAGACAGACTGTTGACTGAATTCAGTGTCTTGCAGTTGTAGAACTGAGTTTCCCACTTAATTCCTCATTGTCAGCCAGGGACTGCTCTCAGCTCTTACATGCTGCCTACATTCATGTAAACCCTGTTTTCCTAATCTCTCAATTTGAATCATAGTATCTAGAAATTCTGTGGTGATGGTGTTAGGCACTTGTTAAGTGTTGGTTGTCCTTCCTTTCCTCGAGCTTACCTTTTTCAGTGTAGCTTCCTAAGAAATGAGACTTAGCTGAGTGCCTGGTCTTGCAGCAGCCCAGCATCTCTGAAGGCACCTCCTACATTTTGGCGAAATTACCGCATTATGAGTATGCACCTCAAGGTAGAACAGGACACTCACAGCCCTCACGCTTGTGAGCCAGGATTCCAGCATGTGACTTGGTTTACACCAGTTAGATCCTCACAATACATGCAGTGACAAACGAATAACAAGAAGTGGTCTTTTGCAGTGGAGTGAAAGAAAATTCTATTCTGATGACAGCAGATGCACTTGATGCCTTAGGGCTGGAGGTGGCAGAGTGTTGGGTTCCATTCCAAGTGTCTTCTGAGAGCTGAATCCCTGACTTAATTGTATTGAGTGATGTAGTTGGGCATTGTTAACAAACTTACAGCTTTATAGTTCTCACTGTGTGACACACTCCTTCCCTGGAGCCACCTAGTAACCTTTGATAATTTTTCTCTTCTTATTAAAGACCAGTGAGGATTCGGTGTCTACATCTAAGTGCCCCAGCTAATAAAAATTTACACTTCCAGTTTGAGGTCTCAGATTCCCAGATAAACATAACAGTTATGTAAGGATAATGTGTTATATTTATATGCACTTCATAGTTTATAAAGAGCTCTCAGGAATTAGTATTTATTTATTTGGTTGTTTCGTGGTGCTGGAAGTTGAATGCAGGGCATTGTACTTGCTAGGTAAGCTCTTTACCATTAAGCTGCACCCCTAGCCCCAAATGTAAATTTTCATCTTTAACTCAAACTGTTTCCAAAGTATGCCTTTCCTATTGGCAACTGTCTACACTTGCTAATATATTTTTAACTTTTACCAATGTGTTAAATATGCTGTTACTCTCATTATGGGTTTCCATTTTTTATTTTTAAAATCATCATATAGTAAAAGTGATATTCTTGTTGCAGAGGTCTTATGAATTTTAACTTGTATAAACACCAATCTCAATACCATCACTATAGTTATTTTTTTTTTAGAGAATGACATAGGAATGGAATGTGCACTCCTATATACTATACAGCATACAGCATAACTTTTTGGGACTGGCTTCTTTTGCTCACCTTACTATCTTTGAGGTTGATGAATGTTTTACACATATAAAGAGTCTGTTTCTTCTTATTGCTGAGTGGTGGTCCATTACATGGGTGCACTACAATTCCTTTGCCTCTTGACTCACTCAGGTACATTTGAGTTTTTTCCAGTTTAGAATGATTATGGATGGGGTTTTTAGAATAGCCGTGTACAGATTTTTGTATGAGCACACTTCTCTAGAATGGAAAAACAGGAATAGGAATTCTGGGTAGTATCATGAAAGTCTGTCTTCTTTTATAAGAAGTTGCCGAATGGTTTTCTGGAGAGGCTATGCCATTTTGCATCCCCCCCAGCATTTTATGAGAATTCTGATTGCTGTAGGTGGTATTTTAGCCATCTTAATGTAGTAGTTTTAATTTGTATTTTCTTAATGACTAAGAAAATACTGTCTTTTCATGTACTTATTTACCTTGCTTAATATCCTTTTTGGTGAAGTGTCTGTTAAAGTATTTTGTCCATTTTTTACTTGGAAAATTAATTTTTAAATTTTAATTTGTATTTCCCCTCCATTGTTTGCAGAGTTCTTTACATATTCTGGATAGAAGGCCTTTGTCAAATAAATGATTGTTAAATAAATTTTCCCAATCTGCAACTTGTTTTTTTTTTTCATTCTCTCTCTCTTTTTTTTAAAGTATTTTTAGTGGTAGTTGGGCACAATATTTTTATTTATTTATTTTTGTGTGTTGCTAAGGATTGAACCCAGTGCCTCACATGGCTAGGCAAGTGCTCCACCACTGAGCTACAACTCCAGCCCTTTTCATTCTCTTAACAGAACCTACAGCAGAACAAAAGTTCTTAATTTTGATGAGGACCAATATATATTGTTCTTTTTCTTTTATGGATCATGCTTTTGGGGTCATGTTCTAAGCACACTTAGCCTATCACAGAGGGTCATGAAAATTTTCTTCTAGAAGCTATGTAGTTTTCTTATACTTATATTTTTGATCCATTTTGAATTAGTGTTATTTTTGCTTATGGGTGGTCAATTATTGCAACACATTAGTTGAAAAGGGTATCCTCTCTGTATGTAATTGTGTAATTATTTTTTGGGCTTTTGTAAAAAACCAAGTAACCATTTTTGTGTTTCTGGACTCCATATTCTGGCCCATTGATCTTTGTGTCTGTTCCTTTATCAATGCCATGGTACTGTTTTTATCACTTTTTGGTAATTCTTAGACCTGGGTAATGTGATTGCTTGCTCCACTTTTTATTCTCTTCGAATATTTCAAAATATTTTTCTTTAAAAATTTTGATCTAGGGGCTGGAGTTGTGGCTCAGTGGTAGAGCACTTGCCAGGCATGTGTGAGGCCCTGGGTTCGATCTTCATCACCACATATAAATAAATAAAAGAACCATTTACAACTAAAAAATATTTTTAAAAAATAAAAATTTTGATCTATTTATGAGTCATTGTATTTTCATATAGAGTATGAAAAAATTTTCAAGAACAGCCTTATAATGTTCTAAGCACATAGTCTTATTGTCCCAGTATCTAGTACTTCCCTTTCCCAGAGACTCTGGACCCTATTTTAAGGGTAATAAAAGTCCAAATTGAAGGTAGTGATATTCACAGTACACATAGGTCATCTTCTTTGTCACCGCTGATGATAGTAGTACTAGTCACCAAGATCTGGCTTTTTTCACTTTTGGGAGATGGAAGAGGAAGTATATCATCTCTGCTTCTCTATAAAGTTAGGCAGTGCCCTGTGCTTTGTTCCAGCTAATGACATGTGAACTAACATCATGAGTTCCTTCCTGGAAGAAACATCTAAGCCTTTGTGCCTTCTCATGTATGCCATCACATTCCCCCATCATGGCTGGCCATGTTTTCCAGTGATGGAAGCTCCCTCCTCCAGAACGAGGACAAGGTGGAGCTGAGTCCTGGACATTGCACAGTGGACATATAGCATGAGTTAGAAATAAACTTGTGCTTTTTTTTTTTTAGCCATTGTAAAAGAATTAGAGCTGCTTGTTATTACAGCATATCCTCAGCTACCTTGACTAGAACTAGATAGCTGAGGCCAAGAGCTGGTAACCATGCCAGATTGAGTAATGCTCTGGTAAGGCTGCCAGGGCCACCTTTTTCAAAAAGGACCTGTCTGCTCAAGTCATATCTAGGGCAAACAAAGAAATAAAAAAGAAAATAAGCAAACAAAACTTGAATTTATTTTATAGATCCATTTCTAACTTTGGTTTCATTAACATGGTAAAGTAACCATCATATTGCCTTCTTTATCAAAACAATACAAATTATACAGAAAAAAGCAAAGGCCTTCTCTGCTACATAACATACTCCCTTCCTGCTTGTTTCTTCTCTTTAGCTACTAGCCTTTCTGGAACTTGTGTTCTTGGTTCAGTGGTCTCCTTTTTGCAGTGATTTTTCTTTGGGCAGCATCATTTATTTGTAAATGGTAGATACGTTCACTATTTTAGTTTATGTTGATTTTTCCTCCCCCCTCCGGTTTTAACTTTTATATGATATATGGGAGAAGGTGTGTCCTGTTGATGTGCCTCTACTATTGACTGGTAGCTGATAGAAGTCTTTGCTCATTTGAGAAGCAAGACACTTTGTACCTTAAGTTATAGATCGACTATGGTGTTAAAATTGTGGTTTTAACATTTTTGCTAGATGTAAAAGAAAGAGGCATTCATAAAGAGTCTGTACCTTTCGGTTCATTTACAAACTAAGTGATCTTAACATAGTGTCAAAGATCCAGATGGTAGTGTCTGTATTTCCAGCTGTTTCCTTGGCAGTTCAGTATATTCATTGAGAAGACCTTGTGGACTCTGACTTAAGAATAATTGGAATTATTCATGGAGTTAACTTCCCTTCTTAAACACTATTATCTGACTAGGTGTACACCTGTTCTTTTCCAGTAAGTCTTTGTTCATGGTCTTTACTCCAACTTAAAATTCTACAAACCGTGTTCTCTCTCCTTTGACACCTTTATTTCAGTTTGCTTAAGGTCAAAATTCATTGTACCCTGGCTTCTACCATTATTCCATGTTTCATTTCTTGAACCACTCTGATAACAATGGCTTAACTTTTTTTTTTTTTACTATGGAAAATCTCACACATAAGAATAGAGTAGTACAGTTAAATCTCATGTCCTCATACTCATCCACATAAGGAGAATTCATGACACTTTTGTTTCATCATTCCCTCTCAGAGCATAACCACCTACCTCATCTGGCTTATGCTAATAAGACATTTTTAGAGTTCTCTGGCTGATCATTTTCTTTCTGTTTCTGTGTTTAAATGCTTCTAGAAGACTATTTTCTGGATCATGGTGCATTTCCACAGGCTATTTTTCTTAGACTGTTATTCACCTTCTCTATTTCATTTCCATATATCTTAAGTTCTTTGATCAGTTTATCTTTGGACATGAAGTCCAGAGCCTGGAGCTCAGTCAGCACTTTCTCTGTACTTGTGGGTCTAGTCCCTTACGTAGCTTGTGTGATGGAGTTTAATACCTTCTAGCCTACATGCGTGCCTTTCTATGTGTGCTCAGATCCTAGAGTTCTGCAGATACTTTTCCCCAGGAACCACTTTTACTGTGATGTTTGAGTTTTCTCGATGTGATATAAAACAGTTGATGGACTTTGATGTATGCTTTTTACTAGTCATTCTCAAACTGAATCAGTGGAAGCCAAGAAGTAGAATGGCATGAGCTCTTGTTTTCCTTGAAATCTGTTAATTAGGTACAATTTTACTATCAGAAAATATTATATCAATTTAGAATTCTGCATCCAACATAAAAATAAAATGGTATACAATTAGTAAGAAATTGCAGATCTATTCTTTTAGTCAGTCTATGCTTTTTGTACATTTCTATTTGTTATCTGTTAACTTGTGATAGAAGACAAGAACCTGGAATAAAACTTGATGGTACATTTATAGGAGGAAAACTGAAATTAAGACTATTATGTACACAAACTGAATTTTTAAAAAATTAAAACCACTGATACTGTTTTCTTTTTTATATTTATTTTTTAGTTGTAATTGGACACAATACCTTTATTTATTTATTTATTTTTATGTGTTGCTGAGGATTAAACTCAGGGCCTCACATGTGCTAGGTGAACACTTTACCGTTGAGTCACAACTCCAGCCCCACTGATACTGTTTTCTAGTTGTGTAATACCTTGATTGTCTGAAGTAGCATCCAGTGATCTGGTGTGCAGAAATCTGACCTTTTGACAAACACTACTATGTTTTCTGATGTCAAAAAAGTCAATATAGATGCTTATGATTCTCCATTAAATGAGCAAAGTGCTTATTATAACAGTATTTATAACAAATATATAAAGTGCTCATAACCATTCCTGGTATATAGTAAGAGCTATAAATTTTATTGTTAAATTTCTTTTGCTACTAGGTAATAGAACGTGACTAACTTCTCTTCTGGTACCCTATTGGGGACCAATTTCTGCTGCAGAATAGGGGCTTACCTGATATCGTATACCTGATCAGGTAAGTATCTTTGGACATTCTACTTATTTCCAATATGATATAAAGGGAAATGAACATAATGTTCTTCCTTTGTCTATGTATAGTTCCTCAGATTTTTCACTTGACATATGAGAAGTAGTTGAAGGAGTTGGAGATGGTTACCAGGATGAGAGAAGAGCAGGTGCATGGAACCATTTAATAGGGCTACTGTGATGTTGAGACAGTGGGCAGTCTCTGGATTGAGTACTCCTAACCCTTTTGTGCTGATAGGCCACTTTGTGATTCTGGTGCAGGCATTTTCAGAGGCATCAGACCAAGGACCACTGGGTGGAAGATGTTGATGGGGCCTGGGAACCAGTGTTGGTTCAGGTTAAGGAAAAATTTTCTACCCAAGCAGCCATTCTCCAACTTATTTTATTACTACTACTACTACTACTGGGGATCAAACCTAGGAGCATTTTATCTCTGAGCTATATCTGCTGCACTTTTTATTTTATTTTGAGATAATCTTGCTAAGTTGCTTAGACTAGACTCAAACTTAGGATTCTCCTGCCTCAGCTTCCTGAGTAGCTGAGATTACAGGCATGTGCCACCATGCCTGATTAACTTTGTTGGTCTTCAGAATCATGTAGGTTATTTTTAAAAATCCCATCATCTAGCCAGATGTGGTGGCATGCATCTAAGCTACTTGAGAGTCTAACTTGAACCCAGGAGTTTGAGGCCATCCTGGGCAACATAGGGAGACTCGGTTTCAAACAACAACAACAACAAACCTAGTGTCTATGCTCCACCGAGACCAATTACAATCAGTCTTTGGCTAAGGTCTTAAAATCATTTTTTTTTTTAAATAAAGCTCCCTGTGATTCCAAAGTATAGCCAAGTTGAGTGCATTGTTATTCCAGCTACTTGGGAGGCCAAAGCAGGAGGATTGCAAGTTTGAGGCCAGTCTTGGCAATTTAGCAAGACCGTGTCTCAAAATAAGGACTTGTGATGTATTTCAATGGTAAAGAACCCGTGGGTTCAATCTCCACTACCAAAACACAACAAAATAAAACAAAATGAAAAACAAAACCCCCGCTAGTTTGAGAACCAATAAATTAGAGAAATTTGTCATTGGAACAGGCTAAGTAGTAAGCACCTTGTCAGTGGGATAATCCAAGCACAGAACATTCTTCTTATTGATCTGTATATCCTAACTGTACTTAATCTCTCCTAAACAGCATCTGTGCCTTTTCTACATTAACCTCAAGTTTAAACTTATTTCACTATTTAATAAATGACTTTGCTTTTAAGACATATCACTGGGGACTTACACCTTGCTTTCAACCACTGAGAGGACATTTTCTTTCGAACTGTACACTTGTTAAGTCTATGTTCATTAGTCTATAGAGGTTCCCTGGTACACATGCGTTTCTAATTTGGAACAGAACAAGGTATGAGTGTGCTTGTAGAAGCTTCTTGGGGCCGGCAGTGTCTGAAGTGAAACTTTGAAATGTGAATGGATCCAGCTGGTTAGCACAATCTGTCTTATTTAATCATCTTTCTATTTATAAATACATGCTTTTAGCTTTTAGTCACTTACAGCATTTTTTCCTTTTACATTATGTTCATTTCCCTTTATATCATATTGGAAATGAGTATATTGTTCAAAGATACTTGCCCTTCCAAAGGTAAACAGAACTTTATTACCATTAATATGCCACTTTAAGCCTATATGAAAAAGCCACATAGTAATTAAACAGATTTGTTGTAATAAATAGTGATCTCTATCTCAACAGAAAATGAAAAAAGTGGGTTTTGGGCAGGAATCATGTTTGGGTAAGAGAAAGCAAGGTGTGAATCCCCAGGGCCATTGGTCTCCTCATAAACACTTCCCTGGGAAGATGCTGGCTGCTCTGCAGCACTCAGGCTAGACCATTGATGGTCTCTGCATGGATTTTTGACTTAATTTTCACTGCTCATTAGTCCCAAAAGGACCCCCCTGTCTGAGGGAGGGTGCTGTGACCATTCCCTTTTTATAGATGGCCAGACAGATCCAGAAAAGTATCTTGTTCATGATCACCCAGCTAGCAAATAGGATTGGAACTATTAGGCTATGTGACACCAGATTCTGCTCCAGTCAGGATCAAAACTTTCCCTAACCCTTTTATTAGATTATCAATGCCAAGTCTCATTTTCCAACCTGGAAAAATGTCCACTAAGGATAGTATCTTTCCTGTCATCGTCACCACAGTCTCAGTGTTGTTGACATCGTGGGTGCCTGCCTTATGCACTCTAGGATGTTTAGCAGTATTTGCTGGCTGCTGCCTATTAGATGGCCCCACTTGTGACAACTACAGTGTCTCCAAATATTACCACATGTCCCCTAAGGGACCACATCGATCTCAGTTCATAACCACTGCTCTAGGGATTATAATATACATCTTTATTTTTTATTCTGCTTAGAATTAGTATTGTGCAACTTTATTGCAACATATAAAATCCTTGAAATTGTATTTGTTTCCCACTACCATCCTTTGTTTTATGAATTATAGCTGTTTACATCATAAATCCTATAATAGGAAGTTTTAAATTTTGACTTAAATAGTCAAATGTATTTTGAAGAAATTAAGAGGAAAAAGAGCCTTCTGTGTTTTCCCATGTATTTGTGATTTCTGGCTTTCTTTATTCCTTCAAGAATTTCACATAATATTACAATTCTGTTCAGCCTAATGAGCTTCCGTTAGCATTTCTTATAGTGTAAGTTTGCTTCTTGAAACTAATTCTCTGTTTTTTGTTTATCCAGAAATGTGTATTTTGCCTCCTCTTTTTTTTTACCTCCACTAGAGGCATGGGGGATTGAACCCAGGAGTAACCTCAGCCCTTTTTTAAATTTTTATTTTGAGGTAGGGTTTTGCCAAGTTGCCCAGGTTGATCTCAAACTTGGAATCCTCCTGCCTCAGCCTCTTGAATAGTTGAGATTACTAGTTGTGTGCTACTGTGCCTGATATTCCCTTCATTCTTTTTTCTTTTAGACTTTTTTTTTCACCTTTATTTTATTTTTCTGTGGTGCTGGGGGTCAAATCCAGTGCTTCACATATGCTAGGCCTGTGTTCTACCACTGAGCCACAGCCCCAGCTTCTGACAGTGTTTTCATTCTTTAGGGTATTTTCACTGGTTATGAGTTTTGTGTGACCTGTTTATTTTCTTTTGCCATTTTTAAAACTTTTTTTTAATTTTTAAAATTTGTTTTAATTAGTTATACATTGTTGTTTTTGATGAGAAGTTAGAAGTCATGTATTATTATTTCGTGTATGTGATGTGAAATTTTTCTCTATTTTGGGGATTTTTTTATCTTTGGTTTTTCAGAAATTTGACTCTCATGTGGCTAGGTATGGTTTTCTTTGTATTTATCCTTCTTGGATCCATGGAACTTATGTCTGTAATAGCTTTTAACATATTTGGAAAATTTCAGCCATAAGTTATGTTTTCAGAAAGTATTTCTGCCCTGTTCTCTTAAAATACAATTTATATGTATTTTAAACCTTTTTTTTTTTTAATTCAGGGGCACTTTACCACTGAGTCACATCCCTAACTCTTTACTTCTTACTTTGAGACACTAAGTTGCCCAGGCTGGCCTTGAACTTCGGATCCTCCTGCTTGAACCTCCTAAGAACCAGCCACTGCATCTGGCTCTCTGTTTATTTTATAACTCTTTCTCTTTGTGTTTTTCACATTACGAGATTTCTATTGACTCCTGTCATGTTTAGGGTTGTCATTAATAATGTGCTATTAATTTTTCTTTGAATTTTATATTTTTAAAATTTGGTGTTTTCATTTTCTTTTATTCTTTCCTTTCCTCCCCTTTCCCCTTTCTTTTTTCCAGTATTGTGGTTGAACCAGGGGTGCTTTGCTTTACCACTGAACTACATCTCCTGCCTTTTTCATTTTTAAAAAATTTGAGAAAGGGTCTTACTAAGTTGCTGAGAGTCTTGTTCAGTTGTTGAGGCTGACCACAAATTTGTGATACTCCTGCCTTGGCCTCCGAGTTGCTGGGATTATAGGCATGAGCAACTATACCTGGGCTTTGTGTTTTTATTTTTAATAAATGGTTTCCATTTCTCTACTACATTTACAATTTGAATATATTTTCATTTATGTCCTTGAAAACAGTCACAGTAACTGTTTTAAAAGCCTGTCTGCTAGCTCAGTGAAAAAGCACATGAATAGCACATGCCAGACCCTGTGTCCAACCCCAACAGCCTGTGTGCTCCCATACACTCAATCCTGTCTGCTAATTTCCACAACTGGGTCATCTCAGGGGAAGTCACATTTTGTTTCTCTCTGTGTCCTGTTGTTTTGGACTAAGTCTTGGGCATACACTGTAGCAACTCTGGATTTTATAATATTTCTCTGAAATGTTAATTTTTAAAAATCTGGCAGTTATTTTGGCTGGACTTAAACTGTATACTCCATTTATATTGCAGGAGGGTATCAACAGAAATTTCTGTTCAGTTCTTATCTGGGCTGCTTGGAATCTGACCCGTGCATGTATATATAGTTCAGGGCTCAGCCAGAGCTTTGAGCAGAATTTCTGCATAGAATTTAAAGATACCCTACTCTAGAAGGGACATTTCTCTCCCTTCTAGAATTTCCCTCACTTCCCTTTCCATTTGCTTTAGTTTTCCTGAACCCTGTCCCTTGGTTCTTCAAGACAATGCCTATCTTCAGACAAAAACCTGCAGAAAACATGAAACGAACTCAGCCCATTTCCTTTTTCCAAGTCTAGACCCCCTCCAGAGTCCTCCTGCTTTTTCATACTCTCTAGTGTCTTTGGGATTATTTTCTTCATTTTGTTCATTGTCTTAGTTGTTACCTTATGGAAGGTTGGTTCAGTAGATGTTTCTTTCTTTAGAAGAAGAAGCCACAGCTGGCTTGATTTCTTTCCAGTTCTTTATTCTCCTTCTGCATTTCAGCCTTACTCGGGCTGATTCCTCTGATAGTCCATTTGGTCCCTTATGTACTAAAATGACATAAGCAGCTCCTAGGACTATACATTTTTTCTTTTGTGACTAGCAGAACAAAGAGAATATCTTTGTCCTGTCAGTCTGTGAAAAAAATTCTGTAATTCATTTTGTCAGATGTGTGTGTGTGTGTGTGTGTGTGTGTATGTGTGTGTGTGTTTTGCTGGGAATTGAACCCAAGGCCTTGCGCATGGTAAGGAAGTGTTCTACCACTGAACTGCACTCCCACCCCTGTAATACATTTTGATTGAAAAAATTTTAAAAAGGCGTCATTTACAGGTAGTTTTTGGTAACTCAGTCTTGTGCAACTCTCATCATTGTCTAATTCTAGAACATTTTTATGACTCCAAAAAGAAGCCCCTTGACTTCCAATTTCTCCGCTTCTCATTCCCCTAGCAACCTTCATCTTTTTGTCTGTGAATTTATCTAATCCTGGATAATTTATATCACTGGATTCATGCAACATGTGGCCTTTTGAATTTGTCTTCTTTCACTCAGCATGATGTTTTCAAGGTTCATCCATATTGTAGCATGTGGCATGTGTCAGAACTTCAGTGCTAGGGATTGAGCCCAGGGCCTTGCACATGTGGGATAAACTTTACCATTGAGCTATTGTTGGGTTTCATAATAATCTCGCTTCACTTAGTAAGGGGTTGTCAAACTGTTTTCTGAACATTTTCAAAAACAATTTTTCATCCCGACCAGCAATGCATGAAGGTCCTGATTTCTGTATATCCTTTCCAACACTTGTTTTGCCTTTCTTTCTTCTTTCCTTCACTAGCACTAGTAGAGTGGGGACATATGGGTAGAAGTTTGGGAAGGGGAATGAACTTAATGAACACTGCTTTGCCAGCTTCCTCAGAAGCTTAGGGATGCCCAAGCCAGTATGTGGGGAAAGGGAGGAGGTGGCAGGTAGGAGTAGATAATCACATATCATACTCTTCTCTCAGAGTCAGCACAGTACTGTTTGGACCAGCGTGGAGCGGAGTATCAGGATGCTGGAACCTATGTATCGTAATGTACTCTTTGCCCCATCACAAGAGACAGCTAGTACTAAGGTTTTCCTGCCATCTTTTCTTCATTCCTAACTTTAGCTTTAATTACATTCATTAGTATTTAATTAAAATTAGTTTTATCTTTCATAATGTCAGTAGTTGGCAATGGATGATTTTATAATATTTGTCCTTAGACTTTTCCTGAATACCTAAAAGATATTTCACCCGAGTTACTGAATTGCTTTAAAAATGAATATTGAAAACTAAGTGCAATCTGCATTTTCAAATTGCAGGAAGATGTTAAAAACTATTATCAACCATCCCAGTAATGGATCTCTGTCAGGAAAGTGAGACTCATTTAGAAAATAATGAAAATAATGAAATTCAAAGCACAGAAGAAACTGAACTAACCTTCACTTGTCCAGATGGAAAGAGTGAAAAGAATTATGTGTGTTCTCTTCTCAACATCAGTGATATTACGCTTGAAGACGACGAAAGAGCCACCAAGTTGGTTATGGGCACTGGCTGGGAAGAAGCCGTGAGTGTTGTCTTGCGCTGGGTCATGTCAGTATTCCATGCAGGCCATTTCCCCAAAGTGGTGACTGTTCCCACAGCACATGCAGTGGATGAACTGTGGAGCCTTGGAACAGAGGCAGAATCACTCGTGACAAGAGCAGTGCCACTTTGGTGTCTGTGGCCACTTAGTATGTGGCCAGCTCAGGACTTAGTGCTCCTAGTACATTTGTTCATTAACTTCTTAGTAGCTATACCCCAAAAGTGAAATAATGTGCCAGAAGTCATCAGCCAGTCATTGGGCAAGGCAGGCTTGTTGCTCACTACTGTGCTAAGCTCCCCAAGAGACCTGGAGGGCCTGTGCTTGTGGTTCTATGTAGAACCCTGTGTGTTTGTTCTTCATGTGTTCTTAGAATCAAGAGTGGAATCCTAAAGTTAAAACTGAAAGGAGACTGGTCAAATCCAAGGTTAAATGTGAGGTTGCCAGGTTTAGTAACTAGAAATTCAGGACACTCAGGAAATTTCAGAGAAATTCAGAGAAACAGCATTTAATTTATTTAGCATTAAGTATATTGCAAATATGGTTGTATTTTTTTACCTGGCAAACCCCACTTTCTTTTTTTATTTTTTTGATACTGGGGATTGAACCCAGTGGCACTTTACCACTGACTGCATCCTCAGCCTTTCTTATTTTTTTAAAATATTGTTTAGTTGTCAGTGGATCTTTATTTTTTAAATTTATTTATATGTGGTGCTGAAAATTGAACACAGTACCTCACACATGCTAGGCAAACACTCTACTACTACTGAGCCACAACCCTAGCCCCAGGCTTTTTCTTATTTTTAAGACAGCATCCCACTACATTGCTTAAGGTTCTTGCTCAGTAGCCCAGGCTGAGCTTTGAATCCTCCTGCCTTAGCCTCCTGAGTCACTGGGTTTATAGTGGTACCCCTATTTTAACAGAGATCTCTCTAGCTAGGTTAGCCAGGGGACTAGAGGTTTGGGCACAGGTAGGCTCACAGGGCTCTTGTGCACCCAGGATGGGCCTCTGCTTGTTACTATCCTTCCAGCTTATCCAGGTAACAGTGTTTCTTCACATTTAGGAAACACACTGCCAGTGTAAGAAATGCTTGGAAGTGGAATAAAAATGAACAGTTTATTTATTAGTTCTTTTTTTTAAATCATTACTGGGAATTGAACCAAGAGGTGCTTTATCACAGAGTACATCCCCAGTCCTTTTATTAGTATTTTGAGAGAGGGTCTTGCTAAGTTGCTGAGGCCAACCTCAAACTTGGATCCTACTAGTACTGAATTTAATGTACACCTGAAAAGAAATAGTCTGCTTATCAAAGTGTCCATTTACAAATATTATGGCCTACTGTTTTAGTATTAAAAGATACTATTGCTAGCATTTAGAATTAACATATACTATTATAAATATTATTGCTCAGTGTGAGGCCAAAATAGGTAGTGAAAGATTTTTTTTTTTTTTAGAGGTGAGTCAGTTTTAAGATAAAATTGGGCTGGGCATGGTGAAATACCTGTAATCCCAGTGACAAGGCAGGAGGATTGCAAGTTCAAGATCAATTTCAGCAATTTAATGAGGTCCTATGCAATTGAGTGAGACCCTGTCTCAAAATAAAAACATAAAAAGGGCTGAGAATGTAGCTCAATGGTAAATTGGTTCAAATAAGACTGCCAAAAGGGGGATGTGGCTAAAATTGGGGCATCTTTGTTGGGTAATTTGGCTTGAGAAGTAACATGCTGGTTTATTTGCAGGTCAAAGGCTGGGGAAAGGTTTCTCCAACTGCCTGCATGTGGCCAAGGAAGAAACTAAAAAAGGCGAGGGTAGGAGAAAGTGCCAGTAGCAGCTGCTTATTCTGCATCAGCCTTGCCCAAGGGAGTCTGGAAGCCAGCCCTCCCACAGAGACCGGGAAATTGGAAGCAGGGGCTGTGGCTGAGGGGGGCCTTGAGAAGAATAGGAACAGTACCCTCCAGAGTCAGGGGTCCTGTCAATGTCCTACCACCACGTCCAGGGAGGTTAACAAAATTTGCTTTCCCTCCTATGTTCATGGAGGAAAAAAAAGCCTGCAAATCAAGGAGTTTATATGGTGCGTGGAAGACTGGGCCACCCTCGAGACTAATAGTGGCAAGGCCACTGGGAATCTAAGTGGAGGTGCCAACAGAGGGCTTTCCATCTCTGACTCCTTGACTTCCAAGGCCCTACTAGTTCTGCCTCCCCTAAAACCTTCACCCTCAAGCGGCTTGGAAATTCTGGGTAAGAAGAGTAAGAGCGTGACTTGGCAGCTGGAAGACAAGGTGCCGAGTGTGGAGAAGGATGAGTGTGTGGCTTGTGCACGTGGATTGAAAACAGTGGATGGGAAAGATGAGAAAAGACCCCTTGAGGTGGCCAAGCTGAAGGTCCACGACACGCCACCTTTCCCTTCCCCAGTGCTCTGGACATCCCCGCTGGCTGATATTGAGCAGTGCTGCCTGCATTGGCCTTTCCTACCTGAGGAGAGCCCGCTGGGCCCTTCCAACCCCAGCCCAGTTCACTACCTTGCAACCCTGCAGCTTTTGCAGAAACAGGAAGTGCAAAGCTACAAAGCCAAATTCAGAGCCAAGGAGCTGAGACCACCCAGAAACACCCAAAAGCATGTTCTTCCAGGGGCCAGGCAGGAAAATCGACCCCGAATGCTGGAGACCGAAATGTTCCCAAGACACCTCTTGCCGTCCCTCACAGTGAGCAGAGTTGTTATCCCCATTTCCACTCACAGATTCCTCTGACTTGTCACAATAGAAGTCCTTAAAATAATCACTGCTTGAAATTCATTTGTCTGTCTCTCTATCTCCTCCTCCCCTCATATTCTTTCTCCTCTTCTATTGCCATCCTTTTTTTTCTTTTTGTAGCAGAACCAGAGGAAATTGAACGTGTTTGGATTTATTCTCTAAAATCCCATGTTACCTACTTCTGCTGTTAATCCATTTATAAAATGAAAATTGGCAGTACCAGCCCCCACCTCTACCTACTTTACCTCTCTGTGCCCAGTGGAAGCCATGGGGAAGGCGGACAATTCAAAGCGCCTCCCTCTACTGTCCCTGTGCCAGCCCAAGAGCTATTTGGCAGGGACTCGTTCTGTCCCACCCCAGTGCCTTAAGCTAAGTTATCCTGGGTTGGCTCAGATTAAATTGCTTTCTGATCTTTTGAATAAGCAGTCAGTATCTGTCTACTGCCTCATTTTCTTTTTTTTAAATTGATTTTTTTTAAAAAATAAATGAAGGTAGAATGCATTACAGTTCTTATTATATACAGCACAATTTTTCATATCTCTGGTTGTATATAAAGTATGTTGACACCAATTCGTGTCTTCATGCATGTACTTTGGATAATGATGTCCATCACATTCCACCATCCTTGCTAATCCCCTGCCCCCTTCCTTCCCCTCTGCCCTATCTAGAGTTCGTCCATTCCTCCATGCTCTCCTACTCCCTACCCTACTATGAATCAGCCCTCTTATATCAGAGAAAACATTTGGCATTTGTTTTTGGGGGTTGGCTAACTTCAATTAGCATTATCTTCTCCACTCATTTTCTTTGTAACAAAGATCTGAAGCTCTGTTTTCATAGGAAATTTCAGCCTGTGTCCATGTGACGATCCTGGTGTCCAAGGTATCATATCCTTGCATCATGTTTTGGCCGGAGTTGTACAAAATCCAGTCTGAGGAGCAGGTTTAAGAATAATTATCCATTTAAAAAAGAAAGTCATTGTCATCCCTGACCTGCTTCCTCCTCCCTTACCTTGCATCTGATGCTTGGGAACCCTCAACCCTAGACATGTAGGGAATAAGCTGTTACTTTTCCCCCATCCTGCCTTTGCTTTCTTATTTTACCCCAGTGCATATTTCTTGAGATTGTATATAAATAAAACATTATCAATAAGTTTTATTTTTAATGACAAGTGATGTTATGTAGACAAATGGTCTAACCATTTTTTATGTGAATAACCATGAAGCTCCTTTGGAATTACCTAGCTTGACTTGCTTAAGGCAGGTTGTGCCTGGATTCTGGACTTTCCATCTCCTAAAGAATGGAGTGAACAGTGTATGATTGTATTTGTAAACATTTGCAACGTGTTGACTGTTAGCCTGATGTGCTTTGTTGTGTTGATTTTTAAGAGACACCAGAAATGCTTAGAAGGTCATTTGCACTTCCTCATAGGCTTGGTTGTGTCCCCCTGAAGAGACCCGTTCCCCATGTTTCTGGACAGTGGGGTATTAGGCCTTGTGGCTCTGGCATCTGCTCCTCTAAGTCAGTGACTGTAGAATCCCCTTTCTAAAGCAGCAGATTAGTCAATAAGCTCAATATGTAGAACTGTCGGAATCGTGTGATAGGAGATGGTGACCCCCAGCAGGAGTGAGGGTCCAGAGGCCTTACCTGCTCAGCCTAGTGTACTTACCTTTTGAAAAAAAAATTTTTTTTAAATGGTACTAGGGATTGACCCTAGGGACACTTAACCACTGAGCTGCATCCCCATTTTATTTATTTTGAGACAGGGTCTTGCTAAGTTGCTCAGGGACTTCCTGAGTTGCTGAGGCTGGCTTTGAATTTGCAATCCTCCTGTCTCAGCCTCCTGAGTTGCTGGGATTTGAGATCTTAAGGCAGTTTTAAAACACTAATCTAGGTTACAGTGGGGTTTTGTAATTTTAGGAAAAAGTTTTCCATTCAGATAATTCTACAGATTTGGGTGCAGTGGCATACACTTGTAATCCCAGTGACTTAGGAGGCTGAGGCAGGAGGATCTCAAGTTTGGGGCCAGCCTGGGTAACTTTGTGAGACCCTGTTTCAAAATAAAAAATAAAAAGGGCTGGGCATGTAGCTCAGTGGTAGAGTGCCCTGGGGCTCAATTCCCAGTGCCAAAAATATTGTAGATTTTTATGAAAACATGATATGGAGTGTATGTGTTTTATGTATGTGTATGTATTTATACTTATGTGTAGATATATATATGTATAATGTGTGTATAGGTACATTTTTTGTGTGTGATGTCAGGAACTGAACCCAGAGCCTCATGCATGCTAGGCATGTGCTTTATCACTGAGTCCTATATAATAATTTAGAATTAAGAGGAGGGCCAGTCTTAACAAAGGAAAAGCTCAAAACTACTGATGATTTATTGAGGGACAGGGATCTATCTGGCTCATTGGCACAGTGCATGCTTCACATGTTTGAGGCCCTGGATTCAATCTCCAGCACCCGCCCACAACAACAAGATTTCAGGTATCCTTTCTGAACAGATAATTATTTTGTCTAACAAAATATTGACTAGAAGATTCCTTTGTGAATAGATTAAGAATGTTTTGCATTTGGTGTCTCTTGGCTCAGGAAGTTATTCAAGAACCTAATAACTTCCCCTCAGAATCTTCTCTGCAGCCCAGGCTTATCTTGTTTCTTTGGGGATGAAGTCACTCCAGGCCTTGGCCCAGTTTTTGTTCAGATTAGCTCAGGACATCTAAACTAGTCCTTTGCTGTCTCAGTCTAGCTAGATAAAGGCAAAATGTTGAATAGAACACACCTTCCCATTGGGATCTGCATTGCTGACCAAATTTCTAGGGGACACTCCGTGTTTTAAGAACTGAAGAATGTTATAATGCAGGTGCCAGTGGCCTCTCTTGAGGGGACATTCTCAGGTTTGGTTCCTCTAGTCCTCTCCAAACCAAGAACAGAGCTTGTGTGTCATTCCTTGTTCTGTTAATTTTAGTTATTAGTAAAAATTTCTTGAAACTTTCAAACTCATCAAGTGAAATTTTGGCAGCATCACATACAGGATTCCCACAGAGCCTGAGGTCACTCATGGGCAAGCTGGGGGTTGAGGCCTGCTGTGGCTGCTGAGATCTGGTGAGGCAAGGTTGACTTTTTTTTGGCAGTTCTGGGGATGGAACCCAGCACCTCACATAATGCTAGGCAAGTGTTCTACCCCTGAGCTACCTATGCTTCAGCCCCAGTGGAGCATCACTATTTTTTTTTTTGGGGGGGGGGGGTGTGCCGGGGATTGAACTCAGGAGCAGTCCCTAATATGGAGCCACAGCCCCAGTCCTTTTTATTTTTTGAGACAGTTTCACTAAGTTACAAAGGCTGGAGTTGAACTGCGATCTTCCTGCTTCAGCTTCACGTTTCTAGGATTACAGGAGTGGGCCACCACACCTGGCTTGAGGTGCCACTCTTGAAAGACAATGGGAAGACTATAAATGAGAATAAGGCCTGGCTATATTTGGACAAGCCTTTGACTACTTTAGAAGACCTTCACTACTTTTAAATCATATCTTATTCAAATCATTACTTCAAAGACCATGCTATACAATGATTTGAACCCAGAATCAAATTTGCTTTCAATCTCTTCCTCCAAGTTCAGAAGTTTCAGGGCCCAGAGAGACCACAGAGCCCAGGTCATCTCACTTTGGCCCCACTGGCCAAGCAAGCACAACTTCAGGCTGCACATCTGGGGCTCATGTTCAGTGCCGCCTTGCAGTTGTAGCTTCAGGGTTACTGAAAGCAAGCCAGGGAAGGAAGAAATGGGGCTTTTTGACCCATAGTAGCCAAGGACCATCCTTTGTTCCATGCTTGAACACTCTCCTGTCTGCCAGGCAACCCATGAGCCAGGAGCAGACCCAGAGGCTGAGCTCTTCATTACAAGCTAAACTGCCCCAAAGCTGGGAACTATTAGGAGGCTTGGTTTTTTTTTTTTACACCCCGGCTCTGTCAATGGTCATTGCTGCTTTTGCCCCTTTGAGGGGATTAATACCTGAGGTTCTTTCGGTCATTTTAGTGCAGTTGACTTGCCCACAAACCTTATTAAAGACTCAAAATGGTGAACAATTCTTTCTGTCCCAGATTTGTTGTGAATCCTGGCCTTTCCTGTGAGAGAAAAAACAAAAACAATACTAAGTGAATTTTAATATTTGTAAATAGTGAAATCCCTGAGGAGGTTTTTAAACATACTACTGATCTCAACCTTCTCTATTAACACATACTTTCTAAAGAGCACCATAACTTAGAGGACTGAATTGCATTTATAGAACACTTCAAGTTCCACCCACCCCAGCAACTGGCCATCTTTAAGAGAAGGGCTTTTCAACCTAGGCCCTATTATCATTTTGGGCTGGTTCATTCTTTGTGTTGGCTGTCCTGTGCATTGAGAGATGTGGAACAGCGTCCCCAGCCTTGACCCACTAGGTGCCAGTAGCACCCCAGCTGTGACAACCAGAAATATGTCCAGAGTACCAAATGCCTCTTGAGGGCAAGTCATCTAGCAGAGAACCACTGCTTTAGGGAATCAGCAATTCTAGAACACACTGTTTTCTGCAGCTTCTCTGATGACCTTACTCACAGAGCAAGCAGAAGCCTTGATCAAAATGGGAAGGGACGCTGGGCAACACCGCGCTCATCTCATCCCCAAAGGCACAGGTGCCCTCTCTTGTGTTCTGGTCCTTTCTGATGGTCTTGTCCAGGTCTTTAGATAGAAGCAACCACATGTCTGCTTTTCTCTCAGAACAGTCTCTCAAGAAAGAGTAGAGCCCACTTCAGGAGCGGCTGTGGGCCTCCCTGCCTCCCTCCTTCAGGATGATGTGCACGATTGTTTTGGCAAGGTTTTCAAGATAATTCTATTAATATATTTAGTTTAATGCTATTATTCAGAATCCTTTAATGTTTAAGCAACAGATTCTTTTCCATGGTGACTGCTTGTGCTGAACAGGTGTAAATATTAAGAAGCATGTGATACACCTCGGTAACCACTGGCAAGTATATGCTTCATAAGAATACATGAAAGCCACCTTTCTCCCCTGAGTCTCTTAAATGGAACAGTTTTTCCACTTTTTAAAACTCTTGGTGTCACGTTAGCAGTGCAGGAAGGTTGTGACTGTCCTATGACTTTGAAAGCAGAACTTTTTGTAATCTCACTTGTTTTAATCTACATGTGCTCTGACAAGAACTAGAATCTAACATAGAACTTGGTCCACGAATCTGTCTTAATTTCTTTGTCTATTTCTTCAAATCCTCAGGACTGATTTCTTTAAATTTCAGGAAAATAGGAAATCAGAAAGATACTTATCATTGTGGTAGCTATTTAGCAAACTGTTTCTTGCACATACCTTGTTACAGAAGAGTGATTTAAATGGTTTTTAAATACATCACATCTTACTAAAAAAAGGTACAAAAGAAAAAAGGATCAACAGTATCTTGCAATTCATTAACAGTACTCTCAAATATAGATAAAACAAAAATTATTTCCATGATATGACCTAAGATGGTATAATTGTTAAAGCAGGTTGCCAAGAGTTTAGATGGCTTTTCAAGTTTCTTGATCTTGGGAGGCTTTTTAAGTTACGGAGGAGAGTTTTAATGGTTAAATATCCGTTTGTGAGAGGTTAATTCAGATGCACTGACTTCTGCCAAATTTTTATTTTAGCGTGGACACTGCATTTTCTGAAGTCACTAAATTTCTTATTGCAGCTCAAGAAAAAAGAAGATAAAGTAGTAGAGGGATCAATTTCAAATTCATTCCTAAGCAGCAACATGTTTGAGACGCACTCATAAAACCAAATATTGCTCCCAGGACATGGAAAAAGCAATGGATCACCAAAAAGCAGAGAGTAAAATGCTGTAAGCAGAAATAAGAAAATGTGAAACTCAGGACAATTACACATATCATGCTATGCTACAAAGCTCACTCCTGTAAGGAGTAACACTTGTACTTTTAAAATTTTTTTCCTCTTAATATTTTTTTAGTTGTCAATAGACCTTTATTTTAATTATTTATATACAGTGCTGAGAATCAAACCTAGGGCCTTACACATGCTAGGCAAACGCTCTACCACTGAGCCACAACTCCAGCCCAACTCTTGTATTTGATAATAACAAGTCACTAATTTAATTTTTTTCAATTTCAGAAATATTTTATTTTGCTGATAAAAATACAACGTATTTTAATTATTTTGTTGTTCTTTTTTTTTTTTTTAATTTTTGCAGCCGAGTATCCTGTAACATTAACTTTCTTCAGAGTGAAATACCAAAAATTACGGAGGGGGCCATGGCATTAAGTTCCTCATAGGCAAACTTATGAAATTTGTGTTTTTAGAACAAAGTTACAGATGTTTTTGTTATTTATTAGTAAGGCAGTTATAGTATTTTCCCTAGGTTGTCTAAAGTTTTGAAAGAATACTGGTAATCTAGTTCAAGTGTTATATAGACATTGTTTTTATTTATATACAATTTGACCTTCTCCTCCTTCCAAAAATGCTTGTTTTTAAATGTAGCCCATTTTAGTTAATGTTTGGAGAACTATGGACCTTCTCCATGTGTTCTTTCAACCTGTCTTAGTGCGTAAACAAATATATTGTGTATCTGTTAATAATAAATACAATCCCAACAACAGAGAATCCCTTGGATTTAACCATTACAAAAGTGAAGTCATTTTCTTTGGTCATATGAATATTTTACCAGCCAGCATCTTCCTGAAGGAACTCGATTAAAACTTACATCACTTAACAATTGGAGTCATTTAGATGTTGAGAGTATGAAAGGGTATATGTTGTCTTCTCCTAGCATCAGATCTAATTAATGGCACACTTCAGCATACTTGTGGTGACAACAAACATACACATTGTGAGATAAAAGGAAAATGAAACTGCACGTACTATCCCTACGTCCCTAAAGTTAACTTAAGGCCCTTTAATGTACCAGATAGTAAGCGTTCTCTCCATCAGTATTAGCAGGTTTTGATGAGCGGTTTTGAGCTGAATTACTATCTCTAAAATTGAGGCCAGAAAGGATTAAATGAAAACAATCCCATTATTTGGCAGAATTAATAAAAGTTATTTCACAGCTAGACTAATACTGTTCAGTGTCTTCACATGAAAAAGTAATTTTAGACTTTCAGGTAAGTTTACAAAATTTTTGTTTTCCTGTGACCTAAAGCAGTCAGATACACAATAGTTCAGCTTTCCTGTAAATTGGTGATGGAGCAAAGAAATAATTATTCTAGTCCTCTTGTTTTTACTCATAAGCCTAGAACCACCTTATCTAGAGACAAAGGCAGACCATTATAAAATGGTAGCATCAGGTAATGTGTGAATTGTAGTAATTGATTGCCATTTTTAGGTAAATTATTCACCTGAAATTTAAAAAGGAAAATTATTAGTCTATTTTCATGAACAAAAAAAGTAAAACAATAATGAAACTAACAGCACAGTTACTTCATCATGTCACTTTTAGAAATGAGTCTGTAAAAAAAGCAACAAAATAAGTTGTATCATGAGCAGGTCAAAAAACACACACAAAAAGAATTCTAGCTTCCTTTTAATCATTGAATTTCAGTTTTTACAGATGATCTTAGGACAATCCAGGTAACTAAGGTTTTGCGGGGGAACAGTTCTTGTACATGAAGAACAATCACATGCTCCACTTTTTGTAAATAACTATTGGCTGGATTAACAAACATCGTCACAAACAGAAGTAAAGCCATAGATCACTGCATATGTATTTACAAAAAGCCATAAACAAACATGCATTTCTTCTTTATCAGGACGACTTAAATAGATGTTTGAACATTAAGGCAGTGATGATTCTAAAACAATGAAAATCTAAGTTAAGGCTTTATGTTCATTTTGAAACTCATATTCATAGGCAACTGTGACCAAAGCAAAGTTATCTACTAGGTATTAGTTCATCTGCTTGGATATGTTATTAATCCATTACCAATTCTCTTTCAGACATATGGGATAAGCATTATTACCAACACCATCAATTTACTTTAATGAATCATTAGTTTCCTTCTTAAGTTCTATTTTGAGGAGTTAGGTTTCAGCAGCACAAGCATGTGCCACAGAAAAAACAGAGCATTTTTGGGTAAAGTTTGAAAACACACAGGCTGCACTTGCCTGAGAATTGGGCAACAATTAAGAATTCAGGCTGGGCACAGTGGCACACACCTGCAATCCCAGCAGCTTGGGAGGCTAAGGCAGGAAAATCTCAAGTTCAAAAAAAAAAAGCCAACCTCAGCAACATAGTGAGGCTCTAAGCAAAACTAAAAAGGACTGGGGATGTCAGTGGTTAAATGCCCCTGGGTTTAATTCCCAATTCCAAGAAAAAAATCAACAAACAAAACAAAACAGGATCTACTAACTAGAGAACCCCCAAAGCATACTTGATGCTGTCCTTGTCTCAAAGTAGAAAATATTCTTGATTACTGAAGCAAGTTTGATAGTTTATTCTGTAATTGCTAGCCTCAAGACACAAATGATATATTTATTAGACCTGTGTTTCTTTATTCAAGGAAAAGATGGGTGGTGGATGGAAGGAAAAGTAACTTTAAAATAATTGCAGATTGCACTCTCGCCCTATCAAGCTCAGAAGTGTAAAGTTTTGAAATCTGGGTTTGAGGGGTAGTGTCCTCTTTCCCTACTTTAACATTGAGGACAAGTCAGATGCAGCCTGTAGGTGCACGGTGGGAAGCAGTTCTGGTGCCCCACTTTGGTCTGCTGTGGAGTGCAGGAAGGGTGTTTATAGATGTGGTAATATTCATATTTGGTCTTCCTCCCTGGTAGTAGACAACTCCTAAAATCCTTGTTATTTCCAGCAATTTTTTTTGTGTGCTAATGAGCAGCCCCTAGGTAGCTTTACAATGAGGACTCATCACAGCAAAGACATGATTAGAGGGGTGGGATTATCTTCAGCCTTACCCTGCCTTAACCCTCTACCTTCTGGGAGGGGAGAGAGGCTGAAAGTTAAGTTGATCATGGCCAGTGATGTCATCAATCATACCCTTGAAGTTTCAATAAAGGCCCAAAAGGACTGGGTTCAGTGAGCTTCCAGATAGTCAAACTTGGATTCCTGGAAGACGGCTCTCCTAGTGAGGGTATGGAAGCCAGTTCCTTCCCACATACCTCACCCTGAGCATTTCTTCATTTGTATTCTTTGCAATAACCAGTAAACATGATGTTCCCCTGAGTTCTGCCAGCCACTCATGAATAAATTGAACCCAGGGAGGAGAATGTGGCAACCCTAAAATTTAAGTGCTGGGTTAGACACTCTGGAGGCCTGGACTCCAGATAGTGTCAGAACTGAAGAGCATTAGAGGACACCCAAGTGGCATCTGCTGCAGAGCTGCTTGCTGGTACATGGGGAAAACTCCCACACATCTGGGCACAGAAGGCTTCTGGATTGATGGTGGTATGAAAGCACAGGACCACACACCCCAGGATGAACTAACAGGCATGATTTAACAACCGTGTCTCCATAGTCTAGATGTAGTACTTGGAAGAATCACTATTTACACTAAGTGCTTGCTGCCCTTTCTCTAGGCAGTAATCATTTCACAGCAACAAACCTCTTGTGAGGAAAGGACTGTTCGCGCATGTTAGCATCAGTAATAGCTCATGAGTGGAGGGATGGCAGTGACTACATGGAAACTTGCAAAAGCTGAAGACAGCTGTAAATTCCCTTGGTGTCTTCAAATCAGAAGAGAGATGGCAAAGCAGATGAAGCTGCAGCAACAGGAGTCTCCAACCACAGAAGCATTTTCTAGAAGACATTTTAGGTGCAATTTAAGTATGTTACACTTTGCTAAAACATTTTGGAGATTTGGTAAGTTTGCACTCTACTACCTTGCAAGCTTGGCTTCAGCTAAATGGCTGTATTGGTTTTATAGGAACAAGCTATAGTTTTAAAGATGGAAAGACTAGCTATAAAAGGGCAAATGTATGCAACACAAGAACAATCATTTTTAGATCAACATCTTACACTTTATAATACACTCACATTTATACACAAATTTGTGTTTACAAGTACAAAAGGCAAAGAACTGCAAAGAATCTAAGCAACTGCATCATCAGCTACATTCAACAGAGTTAATACTGTTGTCCCTGCTCCCATTATCTAAATCTGGAAGGAAATAATAAACACCATCCAACCTGGACTTCACCTTTAGAAGTTGGAGACTGCGTGCAGCTCGGCGCATGTCTGAGTTTCCACAGAGCTGAACTGAGATTCCATCGTGTTCCAGGCCAAATCAGCTAGAAGAAAGTCATCCATTGCTGTCTGAGTTTCATTGCTGGTAAAGAACAAGCTCCCCAAGGTTTCAAAACCTGAACTCATGGTCTGTGTTTCTGTACTGTTCAACTGAACTTTGCTCTCTAGGGCAGATAGGTTTTTAGCAGCGGAGATTCCTTCAGTTTGGGTCTCTGTGTCTGATGAATCAGTGCTCATGGAAAAGCTGGAGTGTTTCAGGATGCTGCCAAGGGGCAGATGAGGGCTACTGTCCAAAAAGAAGTTTAAGTCTGTCTGCGTTTGCGTGTCAAACATCTCAAGGCCTAGGAAGTGAGAACTTCCCCTATACCCGTAGGGCTGGACAGATGTGTCTGCAAGTAAGAAGTCAGTTTGGGTCTCTATGTCCAGTGATTCCAAGACTGGTTCAGTGTTCATGGTGCTAAGTTCACTCTCTTCAGTTTGAGTCTGGATATTTGAAGCTGAGAAGAACTCTTCAATATCAAAATCTATTCCAGGATTCTGGGTTGAGCCAGATGGCAGCTGAGTGTCAGGCCCAGGGTTTGTGTCAGACAAAAGACTACGGTTATCCAATGTCTGATCGGGCAGATTACTTGACAAGATGTTTTCTAAATCACTTAATAAGTCTATGGTTTGGGTCTGATTATCTGTCATGTTCTGTGAAGGAAGCATACTATTCTGTGCACTGAAGCTCAAAATGGGTGCAGATTTCTCAATATCTTGATTTAAAGTCTTAGGGTCATTCTGAGGTAACAAACCACGAGTTACTGTCTCTGCTACTAAGCTGCTGCTTATAATAGTGTCTGCAGGGACACTGTATGATGAATGGACACTCTCAAAAATGTCTCTGCACATTCCAGCTTGGTCCATCTGTACCTGGCCACGTGTGGGACTTTGCATCCCACTGGTTTGGGTTTCTCTGGAGATCCCACCTGGCTGATAACAAGTGTCCATAAATGCATCAGTCTGAGCGGCAATAGATGAAGTTACCTTAGAGCTGGGCAGAAGCGTCTGGGTGTGAACACTAATGGGAAGGGACACTTGAGAATCAAATGACAGATCAGTCTGAGAACAAGACGATACAGAGGAATCAGGGCCAACCCACTGTGCAGAAGGTAGGAAGTTTTGTGAGGCATAGGACAGATCCGTCTGTACATTGATTGAAGAAATGCTGTTCTTCTGACACGTGTTCCCTAGTTCTTGTAAAGGATTAGACAGATTTTTACCCAAGTTCACTTGAACACCGGTACTAACTGGCTCAACAACAGGATTTATAATTTTTGAAAGAGGTAGGCTCTCCTTAAGAGAACAAGCCTCTGACTCTAGGCCAAGGATCAGGGTTCCTACTGACAAGGGCACTAAGTGCACAGCACCTGCAGTGGAGCCCTGATCCATACCTAACACCACAGGCTGGGCCGAAGAGTCGGCCGTAGGCACGAAGACAGGCACAGGAGAGAACTGCATGACCGGAAGTTTAACCAAAGCCACTTTGGGCTTTGGTAGAAGCAACTTCTGAGGATATCTCGGAGGTGTTGTGACACTCTGTTTTCTGGCATTAGAGCTGCAAGAATCTTCAAAAGAATTTACTAATTTTATTTCTGAAGTTTCTAGTTCTTGAGGATCTGGTCGAGGAGGGGGTTGAGTGCTCAATGGTTCCATGGTCTTATTAGATAACTTCTGGTTTTGTAGATAGTTTTCCATTTTCCTTTTTTTACTAGGTGGATCCCTAAAGACAATGACAAAGCAAAAAGAAAACAATTTTAAAATGCTGCTTTCTGAGCTGGGTGAGGTAATCCCAGCTACTTGGGAGGCTTAGGTGAGATTATTGCAAATTTGAGGACATCCTAGTCTAGCACGTGAAAGGCTCTGGATTCAAGCCTCAATACTGGGGGGAAAAATGCAGCTTTCTTAGACCATGACACTATGTCTTAATAATACATGCTACTGCCCTTATCAGAGGTCAGACCCCACCCAAAGAAGACTACTCCCTTCTTGAACTTCTGGGAATGGGGCTTATTATGGGGCAGATGTTCAGAAACATGCAGATAGGGAAGAAGAAAGCATATATATATATTTTTTAATGCTGTAAGTACTAGAATTTAACCATAAGGAAGCCAAAAGAGGTATACATAACACAAGTTTCATCATCCGTAAAGTTGGAAGCTATTATAACAAATAGAAATTTACTTTTTTTTGAGTACTAGGGATTGAAACCAGGGGCACTTTACCACTGAGTTACCTCCCCAGCCCTTTTTAATTTTTATTTTGAGACTTGCTGAGTTGTTGAGGCAGGCTGTGAACTTGAGATTCTCCTGCTTCAGCCTCCCAAGTTGCTGGGATTACAGGCATGCATCACTGACTGGCAAGATGTTCCACTAAAAAATTTCTAAAGACCTAGTTTTCCCTCCCCTCAAAAAGAAGTACAGGGTTGGTGTTGTGGCTCAGTGGTAGAGTGCTCACCTAGCACGCATGAGGCACTGTGTTTGACCCTCAATACCACATAAAAATAAAGTCATTGTGTCCATCTACAGATAAAGAAAAATATATGGTAGTACAGAGTCATGATAAAACTTACTCTTCAGCAATCTTATATTCCTTACCAGAAGATGGTGGAAATTGAGATTTCAAATGGGCATAGTAAGAGACCCTCAGAGAGTTGGCAATAGAAAAAGGAGGAATAACTGGGTCAGATTCCACGCCTAGATACAATCCTTTGCCAGCACTGCTGCCATTTCCAAAAGCTCCCTTCTTTGATGTCACATTGCTTGTCCATCATTCCTTTTCCTCTCCTTGTCCAGGAAGTTTCAGATGAAACTCCTCCCACAGCTACTGACTTATGTGCCACTGTTTCTTTGCTCTTTACCTGTGTTCTGCAGGGATCTCGTGACCAGTTCGGTAGATGTGAGACTGTAATGCCGTTCTGCTGGCATAGGGACAGCCGCATGTGCACTGGAAGGTCTTGCCACAGTCCTCCGCGTGCCTTTTCAAGTCCCACTCGGTA